GCTTCCCGAACACTAGCAAAGGGGTTCGTGATTGTGCGAATGCCTATTGTATGGGGACCGATTAACCATTTACCATTGATAACCATTTTAAAAATTTTTTGCCTTATTATGGCGGCATAAATCTCGTAAATAAAACCCTTTTACGATCTGCCGATCTCATTAACGTCAAAAAATTCATCTTTCGCATTTTTTTACAAAGAAGGACAAATTACATTAAATGAAAGTGTGTGTGTGTTTTTTTTTTAGTGTTAAAAAATATTAATCGTCGATACGCATTGTACACAATTTAAAGATAAAATTGGTGTTATCTATTGGATACACGGATGAATCTTAACAGTTCTAAAAGGTGGAAGGGTAGTGAAATACATGATGGCATTGAAATGAATATATATATATATATTAAATACATGAATTGTTTTAAAAATTATTATTGTTCTTTATTGTCTATTAAATTACTAATTGTACAAAAACTTTCTTTGATGAGAAATATAAACAAGCGAGAAGATCCCATGAAAAAATGTGAATTTTTTTTAATTACTTTATATATCATTATTCTATACAAGACCATAATAATCTATTCGTCATTAGAGACCATACGCAAAGGTAATTATCTTCAAAGACGAGTCCCTTTTGAATTTGTTCTAATTTAGCTTTTGGCCTTAAACTTGATAATGCTTTTAAATATTTTCGATCACCCCAAATAACATAACTTAATTCCAACACTTTTACAAAATCATTTATTTCAAAGTCCCCGATATTTTGAAAAGGCCATCCTTCACCATCTTTGAGTGCGTAGGATAAGATATAATCCACCGATTTTTGTAACGTTTGTCCGTCCTTCCCCACATAATTCCATGATTCTTTAAATCCATAATGATCGGCCCTCTCGGCTAACAAGAATAATGCTTGTATGTTAAAGATAGAATAGTGCCAGCTTAACATCCTCTTGGTTTCATAAGGTTGTTGTCCGGTTGGCAATATACCTATATTTATCCTATTCATCAATGCTTGTTTAGAATATGCGCGAGCCTCTTCATCACGACCCAAGAATGATAATATAAACGTAATTTGCGCATCATAATGGGTACCATGATTGTTCTTCCCTTCCGTTTTTGCCTTTTGTCCTATGGGCGACGTTTTTAACCAAAAGTAATATTCGGAAAACCACTGACGTAAATTCCTTTCCACGGCAAAATCCCATTTGGGTGAGGAACGCATCAATGGTATCGATTGCAACATTTTAAATACGGGTCGTATATCCAACACTCCCGTTCTTCTGCCAATCTTGTCGCCTCTTCTAAATCCGGCATAATTTAGGTTTGGATTCATTCTGGTCTTCTCATTAATGAACCATTCATCGATCCTATAAATCGCCTTCTCAACGTAGGTATCATTATTCGTGAAGAAGTAGGCGGCACCGAGATTTCCAATCTCCTTGAATAAATTACGCATCAAAGTATAATCTTGTATGGTATTGATTTCGGGGTTTTCAATCCCGTCAATCCTAACGTAAGGTAATCCGTTAGGTTTATCTGGATTGGGCCAAAAATATCTCGAGAGTGACATGTAGTCGTGCGGATCTTTGGAAGGGGGTAGATCTTTCTTCTTTTTCAACGTAACCGAGTATACATTATTGTTTGCAACTATTTCATCCGCCAATTCGATCAAGTTGGTCAACATCTCTTGATGTTGTGTTCTTTGAACCTCAAGGTAATTGATGTAATAATCTTCTTTAACGTACTCCCTTACATTACCATTCTCATCGGTTATCGTATCAAACATTTTGGGGGGTATTGTAAAAGAAGGATCATCGTGCTGCGTTGATATCGGGGGGTCCGTCGATATAACAATGGTCTTCTCTTCATCATGAAGCTGAATCCAAAAGGTGGATGATAAAAGGAAACACATAATCACAAGGGACATCAGCGGTAATATGCTATTTATAGGCATTTTTTTTTTTTAAAAAACAAAAGAAGGAAAATGAAAAAAAAAATTTTTTTTTTTTAATAAACCAAAGGAATGGATGGGAATAAGAATGAAAGTTATGGAGGAAACAAAAAATAATTGAGTTTTAATAAGAAAATTGTTATTCATATTGTCAAAGTGTATTTATTCAAAATTGGTACGCACATGCATATGACCAAAACGAATGAAAGTTTAGGAATTATTATGTGTTCTAAAAATATATCACAAGAATTTCGCCCGTCAATATTCGGTTCTTCCAAATTAGTGTCGAACAAAATAATGCAAAATAATTGCGGTTGTCATTATGTGGCGCAGTGCAACCTCATTTGGAATCGAAAGGGTGTCACGACATATATATCTAATAATTTTTAACTTGAATTGTTCAATAAACTTTGAGAGATTTGGGACTGAAAGGCAAAACACTAAATTTATGATGTAAATCTTTGTTAACCGATTTACAGGAGATTGGGGAATTTTGTAAGAGAAAAATTCTGAAACGGTTTAATATTGCACGTGATGATATGACAAACAAATTTTTCGAATTCCATTCAGAAACGACAATGAGAGTAGGAGATTTACATGATTACATCAATAATTAAAATATGGGCTACAAATCGGCCGAATTATTATTTCTTTATTATTATTATTATTATTTTTTTTTTTAAAAAAAAAAAAAAAAATAAGAGGGAAAATTCCACTCCGTATGAGTGACGAGCTCGAAGAAATCACATGATTTTTGACAATATCGAGGGTTCTCGCGCATGAATATTCATCACATCAACCGAATCGACGCACCCGCATTGATCGATCTACGCATTAACCATATAAAGAACCGACGGTCAGTCATTTTGAATCCCATAATTCTAAACTGTTTGCGAGGTTAACTTAAATATACAGAGTTGAGCCGAAGCTGTTTTCCCTTATCCTCTCTTGCCTATTGGCTAAGATCAAGTGTAGTATCTGTTCTTTTCAGTCTAATATCTGAAACGTTACACACTGTGTAACTTTGATATTAAACGAATTTTTAGAATTGGGAGTGGGGTCCCTGGGCTTGCCTATACCCTGTTCCGGAGTGTCCCTAGTATTGCAGTATCTCTAGGTGACGCTCACATTTTAGAATCACTAGCGGGTTTGGGATATGGGAAAAAAAAGGAAAGTGGGGGAGTTTTAAAGCTATTTGAGATCTTCGTATTTTAATTAAATTTTATATTTTTAAATTTTTAATGAAATGTATGCTAAAAGTGATATACGTCAATTATGGTTAAAAGAATTCCGAGTTTTATTTTATTTTTATTTTTTTTGATGTTGCACTCGAGTCTAACGCAAAAAGGCACGAATCAATGATATGCGGAATAATAATGGAGAATCCGCCAAATTTTTACATTGTCGATCTAACTTTAAAAGAAATTTGTCTATTCCAAATTAAAAAGTTAGAATGAAATCCTTATTCTCGATCAAGTTTTTGTGCGAAAATTATAATTGATGATAAACGCGATATCTCTTTATTTGAACCTTTTGTAAATTAAATTTAAAAAAATAAAAAAAAAATTTTATCTTTTTATTAATTAAATATCTATCACTTGAAAATCAATTTAAAAATAATATAATACATGCGACAAAAAAAATAATTGTTGATTGCCATAAAGGGGTCCCGAAACACTATTTTTAACATAGAAAGAGATAAAGGGACGATTAAATCGAGAAAACGTGGCTTGTCTAATTAAACAATTTATCGGGTGTTTCCTATTCAGGATAACAAGAACGAAATCTATGCACGTGATCCGTCGTTAAATGAGCGGGTGTTACAAATAGTATTTCGGGTAGAAATTTTGAAAAATCAAAAAATCATTCGATATTCGGAAGCTCCGAAGCCATTTTAATATTCTGAGATTCAAACGCGTGCGATTTCACACATGAAGAGATATCCGGACAAGCAAATATTTTTTTTTTCTTTCGGAAATATCTAAATTCGAATGTACTTTATGTTTATTTACAATAGAATATTCGAATGACAAAATAAGCGAGTTTTTCCGGAATAAATTCTTAGCAATTACAGAGGTCTTTTATCTTTAAGTGACTTGAATAGAATTATTGTACTGAAAATTCATCTTTTGATTGTCCAATCATTTCTCTTTCTTAATATGGAGTGCGAATCAAAATTTGCCAATTTCAAAAAAAAAAAAAAAAAAAAAAATTTTTTTATTTTATTATGATTAAATTTTTGTGTTATAATATTATAACAACATACGTAAAAAATAGGAAATGATCCCATTTAAAACTTGTATGAATATGAAAAAAAAAAATCAAATGGAATAATGCATTAGAAGCCAATATTATGCAAATAAAATACAATTTTTTATTCATCTAACGGACACAATCAATTTTATGTAAAATGAACTTGTGTAAATGCACGCCTCCATAAATACAGGCTTACGTGATTTACCCTTTCGATAGATACGCTCTTTAAATGCATTTTATGGAACGTTGACCGTACTTGTTCCGAGGGTAATTCCTTCTAAATCAATCTCATTATACACATAATAGAGATTGGAATTACATAATGGAACACACATTTTAATTTAGGATAATCTTAATATAATCTATTTGCCATTTCATAATTTCCATTTCGGATGGATTGTTTGCTTGATCATTGCTGTTTTTGGATTTATGAAAAAGATGAATCACTTCCCTTTATGCAATCATGTTTTTCTGTTTACTAATTTTGCTTTTGTAATGAAAAATATTATTTGCATCATCCCTCTTTATTGAAGTAAAATGCCTTATTAAGCAACAACTTTACAAATTTATCAAAATACAAAGATAACTTCAACCCCCCAATTTCGAATTCGAATTGTATCATGTGACTTTGACCGAGACAATATTAAATTAATATATGCTAATATGTTAATACTTAATTTAAAAATGATTCACTCGTACCTCTCCTTTAGGGTCATAAATTACAATAATGTTTATTCACGTTACAATTAAATCATAATTAATACATCATTTAATAATAATTTAAGAATTTCTCATAATTAATTAATTAATCGCACCCCTAACCCTCTCGCAACTTCAAAAGACGTCTCGGTTAACTTGTACTTTCCGGTAATCTCCAAAGACTTCAATTTACCTCCTTGATTCACGCATCCTTCCAAAAATTCTTTCAGCGTTTCGACGCTTATCGACGTATCTTTTAATTGAATTTTTTGCACGCTATTGGGAACAAGTTTACCAATCGGTCCCAATTCCCCATCTAATTCGGTGCTAAAATATATCAATTCTTTACATGATTTGAAAATGGAAATTAATTCAAAAGAAAATAGTTTTGGGAGTTCTAAATGATTTAGAGAACCTAAATAAAGCGGAATTTGATTGATTGATTGATAACCTTGATCATAGTCTCTTTTATAACCTAACACTAACTTTTTTAATTTAGTTGAAGAGGATTGAAAGACCGCATTTAATAAATCTACAGCGACGTATAATTGAGGATATGTTACTGCCTTGTACTCAAAAACTTCAAGATTTGTTAAGCTTTTCGCCCATGACTGTATTTTGGTACCGAGGAACCTACATTTATATATTCTCAACCTTTTAAGATTTTTAAGTGAACATAGGGAATTCAAGGCTTCCTCATCAATATGTTCAAAGGATAAATAAGTAAATTCCAATTTTTCTAGCCTTTCCTTGTGTGTGTATAAGGAATTAAACACGACGTTATACCATCCGAATACTTGGTCATTGCCGATCCTCGGAAACCCAACTATCACATCTTCTTCCGATAATATGATGTTTTTTAACTTTCCTTGTGAAGAAATTAATAAGGACAACGCTTTCGCTTGTTCAAGAGATGTAATTTTATTGTTATGAATCAATTCGAGGTTTACATTCGATTGGGAAAGAGTGGTGTAGAGTTGCGTTAATTTAGGGTTGTCTCTTAATTTTAATTCGGCTCCGGCGTTTCCAGGACTCGTACAATATAATTTTTTTAATCCACTTAACTTCCTTTCCATCGAACCGGATGTTAACATTTCTATGGGATCAAAAATCGACTTTTTATTATCCTGGATATAAGGGTTGATTTCCAAGATGGTTATCCTATTACAACGCTCACACAAATATTTCACAAGATAATTAATTATTGAACAACAAAACACTTCTTGCGTCGTATTTGCGTGCATGTAGGATGGCATCCAAATGTTTTTATGGGCAAATGTAGAATAAGCCATAAACAGTTTGGCATCAAGATGTAACTCTCGAATATATCCAACATAATCAAATATGGCCTTTGGAGGATAAAAAATTGGTTCGTTGAACGATTTTTTTGCATCGATGGGAAAAACTATTGTCGTTATATCCGATAGTGGGATACATGTTAATAAAGTTCTAAGCAATTTATAATAATCTTGAACGTCCTTCTTCACCGGTAGAATTTTCTTATTATTTAAGTGACGAAAATTCCGAAACGGATAATAATACAAGAGTGGTGTTGCGATTTTACACCAGTATCGCGAAACTAATGTGCAAGAATATAAATCTGCTACCTTATATGCGTTGGTGGAAGTGGAAAATGTATCATGCGAGGGTTTACGCAATTTCAAAAAAATTTTTTCTAAGCATTCTGGAGGTAAAAGTTGCGTCATAGTTTTTTTTTTTTTTTTTTTAATAAAATTGGTACTAAAAATGAACTGAACTTGGAATAATTTTTTTTTCATGATATATATATATAAAATTACTGCGCCGACGGAGATAACCGTCCACGTATTTCACTTGTAGGTATTGATAATTTCTAAATACGTTAATCTTTACTCATTCATTTCATGAAAGATTTGGATTTTTTTTACAAAATAAATTAATTTATCGGGATCCAGGTTCTTTACCAGTTATTTCTTTCTCTTTTTTACATTTTATTTCTTAATTAAGGCTATGATCATTTTTGTCAGATAGGTCTTACTAAAAATATTTTAGATCATGGAATAATTTTGTTCAATACATTAAATTTTATGCAAGATGTGAATATTGTACGACACGAGAAGAAAAATATTGATATAAATAGAAACTATTTCAAACTGTGCCTCTTTTTTTCTCACGTACTTTTGATAGAATTTTGTTTCCAAGTTCCTTTTTTTTTTTTTCGTCATCCCCCTTCTTTTGTCGATGATTTTTTGACTTTTTTTTTTTGTTTTTTTTGATTTCTTTTCCAAGTTTTTTTTTTTTTATCGATTTCGATTTCGATTTTTTTTTTTTTTTTTTTTTTTTTTTTTTTTTTGAAATTAAAAATTTTTTTTTTAAAAGTTTAATTTATA